AAGCTTCAGTAAAAAATCTAACAAGTGACTTGATTTTTCCATCCAGCTCAGTGAAACAAAGGAAAGGAAATGAGCTATCCATTGCAGAACTTATTGCTTAAGCTAGGTATGTCATTTCAGCTGTTTGGAGAGTCAGTACCTGCTGCAGCCAGCACTACAATGCTGGCAACAACCTCAGAAGAAAAGACCACATGTACACTCTAAAGCGTGAGTTGTAATCCAGATAATGCCCTTGTAACTGTGATGTACCAATGAAAGAGACTGAAGTTCGGTAAGAGTTACCGTTATCGGTCTGTCAAAGCAGTAAAAAGGAAACGTAAGCAAATTGCCCAAGGGATCTCACGCACATACAGCCCTGAGAAAAAGGCACTGTCAGTAGAACACCAGTGATTAGTCCTCTCAAGAACCTCAGCTCAACAGGGCAATCGGTTACTGCCCTCTCTGCCGCAGTTTCCATCAAAAAATATCAAATCCCTGTTGAACATACTACAAAGCAGTATTACGTTCCTCATTATTGCAATTGTAATTTCCTATTTCCTTTTTGTGACATTTAAAAAAAATAAAATCTTCCATTCTCAACCCATAGAGTATCTTGATGCATGACATAATTGTTCTCATCATTAGAAAGAACATTATTCATTACAGATCAAAGAACAAGCCAAAAAAAGAAAAAGTGTGCTGGGAAGCATACACGATTCATACTACAAGCTCTGGAAAACAAAGTATTATATGTCAGACCAGAAAACTGTGTTTTGGGGCCCTTCCCAGCCCAGACATCCAGCAAAAGCAACTTGTCTGCTGAGCAGAGAGAAGCAGACATCTAGATCCTCTTTAAAACACCTCCCTCTGATATGTGACCATCAGGGGAGAGGGCAGATTAGCAACACGCATGCTTGCTCCTCCAATGACTGTCAAACTCAACCACCACGCTGGGAACTCTTCCCCCCCCCCCAGTCTGTACAAAGTCAGCACACCCTCCCTTGCCATCTCCTGCCCCATGCACCACAGCCAGACTCTCTCAGGCAAAACTGCCCCTATTCTAGACCACATATACCAGTTCTCTTGATGAAAGAAGAAATACTGCCTTAGAAATAAGTTATACTATTTGTCACGACACACATGGGAAATACTTACAGCTCTGACTCGCAGAAGGTGTGATATGACAGACTGCAGTTCATCGCTATAGTGTTTTAGCTCAGTAAATCTCCTGGGAGCAGGAAACAGATAGTACATCATTAGCCATCATGAAAGCAAGCTTTCACAGAATGCAAGATAGAGCTACAACGCTACAGCCAGCGAGACGGAGCCTGGGTTATGTTGAGGTGGAATTAGCTGAAGACTCCTAAAGAAGCGATTGCAGGGTTTAATTTCCCTAAAGCAAACAACCCAACACTTGCATGACTGCTATTTTTAATGTGAATGATGAAGGTTTACAACAATTTAAGAGATAAATTTTTATGAAATGTAAGTAGTTAACTGAAATTACTACATCATTGTGCTGTTTGTTTTTTTTTTTTTTTTAAAAATGGGATTTATAAAAGCAAGCATGAGCGAATAGGAAAGCTTCAAGTAAGTACAAAGCCAAAATCTGCTGACGCATGCATACTTCATAATAAAAATGTGTTCACGTTTCTGACCTGAGAAAGATACTTGACTTTCAAGCTGCCATCTAGCCAGTTTTGAGTATAACCTCTCGAAGTTCAAGGAAGCATTCACAATTATCACAATCCCTCTAAGGCTAAGCCGTACGGTAACTAGTTACGTATGAAACCTCATTGAGACCTGTACCTGCACAGGAGCCACGCAAAGCTAAAAGCAATCAAGTCAGTACAGCTTAGCAAGGTACCAGTCAGGTAACCCATCGCAAGTGACCACGGGCACACTGCTGGCCTGCTGCTACTGAAGGAAAGGGGCATTTTATCAGCCAGCCCAGCTAAGCCTTGGCAGCAGTTTAAGTTGATACATTTAGCTCATGCTAATCACGGAGCAGAGGAAACTGCCACAGCTTTGCTAGTGACAGGTAACCAACTAAGCCAGAGCAATAGCCACTTCTGTACACGTACACCCTTCCTATCACGCACAAGTCTAACTCATGACCTGCTTTGGTACACAAGAATGTATTTTATCCAGACGGGAAGCCAGAAACAGCTTTACCTAAATTACTAAACAATGATCTGAAAATAAGCAAACAAACACAGAAGAACACAACCAGAATATAGGAATGGGAGGCTAAGATTAGCCTTCCAGGTTGATGTTCAAGCACAAAACCACCTTCACCCCTCCTCCCACCGCACGCACACAGTCAGGCTTTGTATTTCAGAATAGTCTGTACCCAAGAGGTCTTACTGAAATGAGTCAGGTCACTTGTTCTGGGTGACCGAGTATGAAATTCCAGGGTTCTTCATTTAACACCTCTTCTTCCCCTGCCAGGAAAGTCTTCCCCTAAAATACTCTCCTCCTTACATTCAGAAAGCAGGAGCTTTATTGCCATTTCTAATACTTGTGATCTCCAAGGAGCATCTTTTATAAGATCATGACACACATAGGGTTAAAGTACATAAAAAGGTTTAAAAGCCAGCAGAGAAACTGTATGGCAAAAATAAATATAGTCATTGATCTGCACAGTGGGGTTTAGAGAGCAATCTTTTCAGTTTACACTTTATAAAATATGCACCAGGGCGGCATGTCGGACAGCTGCAGACACGTACAGTGAAGATATTTGAAATAATTGAACTAAAAACAAAAGATTAAAAAGCATGCCTTCAGCTCAGGAAGACTCCCATTTCCACTCCAGAAATTTATAACGAGAAGTTTTATTTATCCTGATTTTGTGGCAAGAAAGCTTTTAGGAATGCTGTACTCCCTGAAGGCAAGAGTCAGGAACCTAAGAGAACTTTCAGTATCCTGGACTCCAGCAGCAATACATCTTCACCCATGCCAATTCCTCCTCCATTAAAAAATAAAATAATAATAATAAAAAAATCGCCACTTCAGAAGCAAACCATCTTCTTTTTATTGTCTCAGAAAAGCATAAATCAAAGTGATGCTATTTTTTGCCCAATCTTCTGTGAAGGCTGAAAATTTTACAAATATAATTTTTCAGGAAAAACTATTTTTAAGAGACTGGTGGTGTTGCAGATCAAAGGTTTATCCCTCAAGTATTTGCTGAAGTTCTACTCATTGCTCATGTAAAAATATTACATAATTATAAAGTAATTTCGAAACTGACTTTGGCAAGGCACACACAGGGATGTTTACTTTCCAGTGCATCGTAACAGCAGAAGTGTGAAACAAGACTTTGTTTTGGCATTCAGTAACTGAAGCAAGCCTAGCACTTTTCCCTTTGTTTTACTGGTTCTGCAACATTGCCAACAGCCTAGATATTTAATTGAGCTATTAAGTAGAACTTCAGACACAAAAGAAGAACAGATCAGGTCACATTTCTGTAGGGGCACCACCAGGCCTCTTCTCAAAAATGTCTTTTGTGGTAATGGCAAAGAAGAAAATTTCATTTACAGTAGACAACATTTCAAAATAAGTTATTTACTTTGTGCGTTTTATTTGGCAGTACTCCTCCCGACATCAGGGAGGGCAATACCACTGTCCTGTTTTGTGAAGGAAGATATTACAAGAACAGAACTGTTCACTAAAGAACAAGCCACTTGTCCAACTAACCAGACAAAAAAAAGGAGAGTTACTTTAAAAAGAAAAAAATCTGCTTTAGGAAAGGATTTAGTGTTTCCTAAAGAAAGCTTTCACCAAGAAAGCTATTGTTTTGATTAAATCACAGAAAGAACAAGAGGATGGGTGCCACGAGGCCAAATTAGAGAGATCTGCAGTAGATACAAATTTACCTTTGAGTACCAGAATACCACATTTTTATCACCATATAATTCCATCATTAAATCATTAAATTGTAGTTTCCAATCTACATTTGAACTCTTAGAGCAGCATCGTTCCGGTTGTTTAAAGCTCCTGAGGTTGCTCTAAGCTGAAGGGTGCAGCTCCACTGCACCGCGAGGCAATCCGGACTGGGAGCTGCAGCTGTTCTTCACCTGAAACCTGTCCTGCTCCAGGAACCTGAAAGCCTACTCTCCACACAGCAGTCAGATCTTTTGTTTCGGCAAGGTGAGCTTGCTGAACGCACCTTACCACCCAGTCACACAAGCACCAAAAGGTAGCACAGAAAGGCAAGACATCAGATTCCAAGCAGCTCAAGCTAAATGTGCTAGGCAGAGCAGGGCACTACTCCTGCTGTTAGGCCCATGCGTGCTATGCTAAAAGGCTCTCCCTGAATAAAAAAAAAAAAGTTATGCTCATCGGTTATTTATTAAACAACTTGTTTCCAAAAGTTCAATTTGGAGCTATGTAGCTGGCAGAATACAACAGAAAGCATGCGCCAGATCTCCTAAGAGCTGTGAAGTCTCTGTTGAGAGACAGATACTCAGGGACTGGTTTTGTTACAGGCCCTTCCTCATGTTTTCCTTGTATTAACCCTTTTCCTCCTTTTTAGAAAGCAACTTCTCACAACAGCTTTGCTTTCTAAAACACTGAATTACCTCGAAAGATAACAGTATATTCCCCATCTCAGCCTGAACCAGTCTTGCCCACCTATGCCTATAGGCAGACTACTGGCAAAGTTTCCCTGCTGTGAAAGCAGGAGAAGCTAACTCCTACTAGCCACAGATGAAGATGAAGGATGAAGCATTCAAACAAGGGCCCAATTTCACTTGCAGCTACTGAGAGAATTGCTGTCTTTTGATCTCATTCGTGAATGCCATCTTTTATATTAAACCCTAGCTAAAAAGCTTCCTTGCTGCCACAGAAGGCTGCAAAAGCAAACAGAATAAAGAAGAAGGGACTGCACCAATTCACAGATAAGTCTATAAAGAGGTTTAGAAAGGTATGTACCCTCTAACGTCCTTAATACAAACCCCATAGATGCTAGGGAAGTACAAAGGGAACAGACAACAGAAAGCAGTCAGGCACACGGGCTCTCCCTAAATAGCATCTCCTATTGCCACTACTGGACAGCAGATGAACCCAGAAGGGCACTTCATACGCATCTCCGTCGCTTATACATGGCAAACGGCAACATCTCCTGACCCTACTGCTGCACGCTGATGTTTCTAACTATTGCAGAAGTAAAAACTCTCATTTTACCCTCCTCACATCACCTAGGGTGTAAGGAACCTCCTGCTACACACCCTTATGCTTCTGGCCAGTTTTTTTATTGAGCAGATTGCTCTAGTGCCTGTCCCAGAGCTTCCTGAACTGCAACAGAGCTGAACTGACCTCCGGACTTCCAAAAGCACCTGTGAAAATTGGCAGCTTGAAGAGATCTATGAACTGCAACACCAGGGTGCGTGCATCCAGAATTGTGCACTAGCAGATTTTTGGAAAGACCTACTATCAATCTGTATTCTGTTCACGCTTGGAAAGATTTCTTTGCAAACAAATGCTAAGAGGTTCTTTTTCTGGATCTGTTTTTTTTTTTTTTTTTATTCCTTCCTTTTAATCTAGCTAAAAGGAAAGACTCATTTTGCATAAAGCCATGGCATTTTTCTGAATGTTTCCTGCTCCTAGAAACAGGATTTATCAAACCTTTTCACACTACCTCCTTACTGGGCTTCTGTTAAGATTTGAAGTGCAGAAAGAATTTTTCTTTTCTGAATTTATTCTAAGGAGATAGAATATTCTGTCATCTGAAGCTACAGTTGTAACTGAAAAAGAGAAAGGGAGGGAGGAAGGATGTGGAATCTTACTTGTCTGGGTTTTTCACTCTGAATGTTGCATTAAGAGCTTTTAATCTGGAATCTGCCTGAAAAAAGGGGAAAAAAAGCTTTGTTAATTTAATGCAATTAAATTCCAGTGACAAAAAAAGTCTCAGCCTTCTGGCAGCACCATTAGAAAAAATCCTACCTTCCTGGCATATTTAAGTCTTCAAACATTGAACAGGTTGACACTAGCTGCCCTGCATGTCAGATTTTTTTTATTAAAAAGTCAAAAAACTAAGCTATTTTTGTGAACTAGGATGTAAACAGTATCCTCTAAAATTAAGCTGGTATAATCCAAATCCCACAATAATAGTCCCTTCTAACTCCGTGATTTGTGTAACATTTTAAGATACACAACCCTACATTCTTTTTAGATGAAGCGATTGGTAACATAAGACCATATGGACAAACTATTTTATATTTTTCAAACCAAATACAACCAGTGGTAGTGACCTCTATATGCTCTTTATTACTAGGAACAGTTCCCCGGTGAAATCAAAATCTTATATATGGTGTTCTCTTATTTTATGACTGGCTTCACAGAAAATATGTAATTTGTATATCAGAATAGAGCCATTTGTAATGCAATGTTCTTTTCTATAATAGAGCATATATAAAAATCTCTACAGAAGACAATTCAATACCTAATTAAAAAGGTGATTGGGTAGTTTACTTTTTAAGATGTTGGTTTACCAATGACTGCAACAGCAGTATGGAATCTCTCTAAGGAAGGTTTTCGGGGGGTTTTTTCAGTTTAATTGAACATTAAATACCCATTGCATAGTTTACTCTTAATAAGACACCAATACAGATGAGCTACACCAGCCTCATCCAAAGAGGTCCCACATCACCACAACTTTTCCTTTCTATATGGCATTTTACATATAGCTCTCTCAGGGCTCATCTATACTGCATGAAAACTCCAACTCAGGTAAAGTAGCTGGAGTTTACTTTTGATGAAAACATCCCTCTTCATTGAGGGAACAATAAATAACATCTTGTGAGGTGTATAGATTTCCTACAGTGTACTCTTTCAGCTAATGGATTGTGCTACAACTGCTAGCACTAAGTTACTTCAGCAGTACTTGTTAGTGCCGGTACATGACCCAGGAATACTTTGAGCTATGTTGAATTTGACAGTAAAAGGAACACAGTGTCTTCCGAAACCAAAAACGGTGTCCTTCCTTTAGGGCCCTTTCAGTAACTTCTACAAACGAGACATGCGCAGTTTGAGGTTGTTCCACCTCCCACTGCATTGGGGCATAGCAGAAGATACCCGTATTTGAATATCACTGCAAGTTCCTTTCACCTGGAACCACCTGCATATCTGGAGGACACTTAGGACAGCATCCAAGTTGAGGGAAAACCAGTTTCTCTCTTTGAACTAGGATGAAAGGTACTGATGGAAATCTTGCTAACTTTAGCTGTCCTTCTTCCAACCACCAAAAAACCAATACAAAACATAGTCCACAAACCAAAAGGGAAGTGAATGAAACCTGCAAGACTATGACTGATACTGGGGGAAAACAGGTTCATTGTCACCGCTACATGCGGTGCTCCTCTAAGAATATCTTGCAAAGGGACGACAAAGGCAGCACGGGGAAGCATGTCCAAGATAGCACAAGGAACACAAAACACTGCAGTAACTCCAAATCCCAGCCCAGGCTTTATATTTATTCAGGGTGCTCCACGGGCTTGTATGGCCTTGGGCCTCCATTGCTCTATCCCCACAAGTCATTACACATGCCAGTTAGATTGCAGGTCATTCAGACACACCTACGTGTACTCCTCACGTTGTTCTCTAACAGTACAAACACCACCTAGGTACACTGACGTTAAATCAGAGTCCTCCCCTGTAAGTAGCTATTCCACAAAATACTGTATTTATATTCAAACAGGAGGCACCAAAGCCATTTGAGTTTGTTGGAACAGCACACACATTCAACAGGTTTACACTTGAAAAGGATCACTTCCCACGTTACAGTTACAGGGCACGTTTCTGCCTTTTGTTACAGACACATGTAGTGCTCTGAAGAGCTCAGCAAGTACACGAGCACTGCCAGGCAGGAACCAAGATCCTGCCAATGCTCAACCATCTACGTAGGTTATTTCCTTCTTGCCGTTAACAGCACGGTAACTCCCACACACCACTTTTAAGCGTTGTCGCCACACAGAGTTACACTGTTAGAAAAATGTCTGTCCAGTCTTGAACTTGATTTAAGACTAATATGCACAAGCATTTTAGAGATGAATTCCTCATCAAATGAGATACAGCCGAGGAGTTTTCAGACAGTTAATTCCTACCGTGACCCTATAGTCATTTAAGTAAACTAAAGAGAGGGCGGTATTTTCTCCTTCCTAAAGCAAGGGTTAAAATCCCAAGTGACAAATCCCTTAAAGAATAAAATTAAGTGTTGGGGGTGGGCGGAAGGAAAGGCATGATTTAATGATACAGTTGGTAGAGTAAACAAAGTCTCCAACATCAACATTCAACTATAACATGCTACACTGCATTAATGCCTAATTTAAAGTTCAGTTAGCCTGTTTCAAACCCTTTGGGACAAAAAAGACACATCCTACTTTAATGCAGCAGCAGCATGTAAACCAGTGGCCCGATTCTAGTCTAAGACATGTAGTGAATAGAGGTTTGTCCTCTAGTGTAGTGCTAAATAACCTCCAATCTTGAGGGGTTTATACTTCAGATGTTGAATAAAGGAAAGATGCTTTTTCCCAGGCTTTTGCAAAAAGTTATTTTTCTTTCCTACGGAAACAGGAACCGTAAAGGGGAAACTATACACACAATCAAATCTAGAAGGAAAACAGGACTTGGTCATCTCTCATTTAATCTATACTATGGTTTCAGGTAGGCAAATATTCTCAGCATTCTGCTATGAGTTTTCTTTCATGCACACACCCCTGTGTGTACTCCTGAGCATGCCCTGCCAGTACGAACTTTCTGAACTCCTATGAGCTGAAATAAAGATGTGTTGACTAGGAAAACACAGCTTGAGAGCTTTACATTTTTTGCATCATGAATACTAGCAATATGCAAGCCCTACCATGATGGAAGAGAATTATTGTCAACTTAAGTTATCAACATTAAGCGTTGGTATAAAAGCCCCTTGGACATTGAGGATAAGAGCACCAGTGATTTTCTTTAGCTCTCACTATTCAGAATAATTCTTCATAATCCGCCTAGTTTTCAGTTGTGATTTCTTGAGAGTTGATCACGTTACAATGAAACAAAAGCTCAGTATTTGTCCCCATGTAGTAACTTTTCCAGACACAGCCCAGCAATCTATCACCCTCTCACAGATTCTTGTCCTGTACAGACACATGACCTTTGATCATTTATTCCTACAAGTCTTCCACCAGTTTACCCAGCCACGAACTCATTGATGTCAACGGGGACAGTACTATTTCAAGACACATTCCGTTAAACAGTTAAGGGGCACCAAATCCATCTCTCTCAGTCCCTTTCAGCAACTTATCCTTGTAGAGAAGTCCTACAATTCAGACCCCTTTGCTTGCCCCTTTGACACCTTACACCTCTTACCAGGCTAAATCTGACACCCATCTTTAAAACAATGCTAAACTAAACTGACAACTACAAAAGCACTGCTATGGGCTCAAGTTCATTAGTTTTAAAGCCTACAAGGATCATAATTCTACATTACTAGCAGAATTACAAGGTTGAGCATCAAACACAGGAACATATTAACAAGTCTGCTAGAGAACTTAACTGAAGTCTTACCTATTACATGTTAAGAACACCACTGTTTTTGCAGTTACACGTACACATAAAGCAATGCCTTTAACTCATTCTAACAGCAAACAGCCTTTCATAAATAGCCTAAAACATGTTTGCTGGAGTATTTCTGTGTCACAGCAGTCATGAGAAACAATTACAGTGATTACCTTTAACTGAAATCCAGTCTCATTCACCATTTCTTTCCATCCACCTTCCTAAAAATACAGGAAAAGGACGTTCAGTTAAGAGTGATTTAAGAGCGCCACAGCTTTTTCTAGTCCTTAGACCAGTCCCTACATCAGAAGAGCTTCTCCAGTAAGGCTGGGTTTTGCCTCAGCTACCCTCCCCATGTCTTTTCAAGAATCTGGGTTAAGAATAACATGTCATTATGTTGTGCTTACATACTAACCTCCCCCAAAAAACTCTCTCCTCTTCACTATTCATTTACCTCATTCTATCAACCGGGAGCAGGAACCACAAAGCTTTGTCTAAAGAAGTAGCTCAGCTCTTCAGAAAGAAGGGTACTTATCACCCATTGCCTATTTAGTTATCAGCAGCAGCAAGTACCTTTGCAGCTTGAGGCAGAGAGCATACAGAGAACATGCAGTCACCTCGATCATGTGTAGTGGTTGGTTGTCCACTGTTCTCAGTTTCCATACACTGGTTCATCTACACACTATAATGTGCTGCGGTAAACATATCTGCTCAGTCTGCTATTTGGGAAACTCTCATCAAAGCACAGAAAAAAGAAACATCCAACATCTCCTAAAGTTGAAAACTGCAGAAGGCAATGCTTTAGCTGACAACTGGATCACAACTTTTGTGACAACATACTGTACTGGTTTTGGACCACGACACATATGAATGGATCATGATTCAAACTGCAAAGCCAAAGAAACTGTTGATATCCAAAAAGTGAATTGGAAGCCAGTACTGTCTCTGCAGCCAGCAGTATAGCATGCTAACTATTTCAGCTTTAGTCCTAGGGAAGCTTTCCCAACCAACACACATTAAGTTCCCAATATGCTGTTCCAAAGAGGTGGAAATTCTCTCTTAGGAGCCTTAAAACTAGACTGGAAAAAAGTCATAAGGTACATTAGAAGGCCAATTGTACAACTGCTGTGGGGTGTTAAGCTTTTAGATGGACAAGCCTTTTCCACGTTCAAGTTTATTCACGTTGTCTATCCTTCTTCTAGACACAGAACAAGCTACAGGTCAGTGGGAGGGAAGATGAGCAAAAGAACGTTATCTTAACTAAATAATCACTACAGAATGTATTTAGAACGCACATCACTTTACTATACCTGTGTTAAAAACGAATAGAAGATTTTGTCTTGGCAAAGAACAGGATGTGAAGCCACGCGTAACAAGAAGTTTTCCAAACCGATTCTTCTTCTTTCCACAAAATCTGGATCCATATTATCCGCTGATAGCTTATGCCAAACGAAGTCAGCCTATTTAAACAGAAGAGTGTTAACAGTAAATAAGTAATAAACAACACAAAGCAAGCTGCAGCCTCAGCTTCCTTACCCTCTTTTCTGGCAGAGGTGGAACAACAATATGTGGATAGGTAACCGACAAATAATTCCTCAACAACTCAAATTCACTGTAACGTCGCCACAGGGAGTCCACTGGGGCACACTGTCCCTCAATCTGGGACTCAACAGCTCTGAAAGATAAAACAGCAAATTTGAGCATTAGTAAGCTATCGCCTTCTCCCTCATACCATCAGTACAATTATAGCAAAGGCCCTAAAAATAGTTACCCAGTAATGATTACTGCATAACTTGCCCATAATCTGAAGTGATGTTAATTAATTTCATGTCTACATATTTCATTTAAAAATATTTATAATTTCTGCCTGATAGCACTCAAATTTTTTAAGAACACAGGAAAAGTCCACGCAGTTTCATCACACCACAAACAAACAGGTAAGTCACAGTCAAGTAAACAGTCACACAAGTGACTTAGTTCACATCACTACAGTTAGACATATTTCTCTTGGAAGAGTGTTAGGCTCCAAGCCAGCACAATTTCATGAGCAGCTGAAGGACACAGAGTATTACAAGAAGGAATTTACTATTCAATGGGAAAGTCTTCACTTCAGAGGATGAAAATTGTCTTGCCTGCAACAGCTAGAATAGTTAAAAATATAACTTTAAAAATATTAAGAAATTTCAAAGGATATTTTAGAAAAACATAGCAAATTCAAAGCACTTCCAATTTTTTTTTTTTGTTCAAAGTGATATCTTTTTATATTTAAGGACTAAGGACAATTAGTCTAACAAACTAGCTAAAGGTAGGGTAAGCAGGTACAAAACTGATGCATCTGCAAAATTTGTTGAAAACTTAAAGCCAACATCACCTAGCAAGGCCTTAAAGGATTTTATGTTACTATAAAAGGAGAAACCATGGAATATTATAGCATTGAAAAGTAACATAAAAACTTGAAGAAAAAAAATCATCCTTCATACAAGATATTTAAAGCAACAGAAATACTTTGCAATATCATAAAATAAGCATCAGGTCAGTAAGACTTCTTGGCAGTTAGCATATGCCAGAATAAACAGAGAGAGAGAATTCAGACAAGGCACTTAACAGAAACCAGTGATGTCTATGTCTACCTCAGTTCTTATATTAAGTGACTAATTAGCATACAAAGCACTGGCATAAAGCTACATGAAACAGTATTAACTATGTTATAAGATTATCCCAGATTAGTTGAGGTTGGAAGGGACCTCTTCACGTTTGTAGTCCAACTCCCTTGCTCAAAGCAGGTTGCTCAAAGCCACGTCCAGTTGGGTTTTGAGTATCTCCAAGGACAGAGATTCTACTACTACACTGGGCAACCCATTCCTATGTTTGACCACCCTCACAGTAAAGAGGTTTTCTTACATTTAAGTGGAATTTCCTATATTTGAGTTTGTGGCTGCTGCCTCTTGTCCTCTCTCTGTGCATCACAGAAAGAGTCTGACTCTATCTTCTTTACCTCCCCCACCAGGTATTAATACACATTGCTAAGATCCCCTGAGCTGTCTCTTTCAGAGGCTGAACAACCCCATCTCTCTCAGCCTCTCCCTGCACGTCAGACACTCCAAGCCCATGATCATCTTCATGGCCCTGCACTGGACTTGCTTTAGTATGTCCACATCCTTCTTGCACTGGGGAGCCCAGAACCGGGCACAGTAAGTTATGAACTACAAGTACTTACTCATGTGATACTAAGTATAATAAGGTACTACATTATTTCTTTCAGCAGAATTCAGGCTACACTGTTCTTGAATTCATAAGAACTTTCCGGAGTAAAGTTTTAAAAACACTTAAATAGCACACAAATTATTGATTTTTTTTTTTTTAAATCTATTCTTAACCTAGAAGGTTGGATTTCTAATGACCTTACTGAAAAAACAAACAATCCCACTCCAGAGCAGCCCCAATTATTTGGTACACTTAAAATACAAGAAGCTTTTGTCATCCATTTCTGAGCTCTAATTAGAGAGGAACAGCCTTGCTATATCTTCTTGTTTAAAAAAGCCAACAAAACAAACAACAAAACAACAAGACACACGTGGTTACATCTTCAGGTTGAAGTAATGGAATACAGAATTATGCAAAAGCAGGTTTTTTTTAAATGAGTAAGGTAGAGCATTTTCTGTGTATCTGTCCTTGCCTTGTGGAAAGGACATTTATTGCAGGTGACTGACTTAGTAGGAAAAAAAAAAAAATCACAAGGAGGAAGAAAAAAGGATGTATTCACAAGCATTCAACACAAACTGCTGCAGGTTAAAACTGTTTGAGACTGACAAGAAAAAAAGGTGAGCACACTGCTGACAGCCACTAAATCGCACGGCCAATATCCCACAGAACTCTTCCCTCTTAGAGTGTTTCAATTCAACGAAGTTGCAGCCGCAGCCACAGAGTTTTGAAGAGGGTAAGCTCAGCTCAGCGCTGGGCTGACAGGCTGTGCAGCATTCCTCCCTACACAAACGCTGAACAATTTAAACATTTCAAGAACACTTCAGCTAAAAGCAGGTATCTAGTGATTGTACCACTGCTGAGTTGGGGATAAATTTAAATACATAAAGAATTAAGCTACTGTGCCCTGGAAGATTAGTTGTTTAGTTGAAAGCTGAAGGCACAAACCTCACTTTCCTAGCAGAGAAACTCCCAGCAGGGTTTGGTAAACAATCTGGCTATTCAAGACACTCATATGAAAGTACTTCAGAATTAGGGATCCTTTTAATCTCCAGCTTCAGCAGCTATCAACCAGTTGCACTTACTTAGAACACGGGTTTCAAGAGCACTACTTCTGCATGGGTTATCATCAACCCCTAAACAAGACTGTCACCATCAATACATCATAGGATTATGTGGACTCTGTCTGAGAACATACTGCATAAGCAAACATGAACAGGGAGACGAGAAAAACACAGGCCAGGACTGCCCTGAGAACCCAGCCACATCGCAGGAGGACCCATCTGTGCTGCAGATATAGATGCTGCTGTGCCAGCAGAAGACAACGGAGACTCACCTAGAGCTAGGCAAACACATTGCACACAGAGTGAAACAGGCTGTGGCCACCCTTACTCTAAAGGCAGGAAGATTACAGATCCAGATCTCAGATCTGGAACGAGGAGTTCTCCATAATATAATGAATGTTCTATCAGACAAGAACGAGAGGAAGGAAAAGAAACCCCAAAACTACAGGATGCATTTGGTCCATTGCTATGAAATGTCTCTGTCACTCCTATGTATAACCATTTCCTGGCCACAGCAAATGCAAGCCTGGGGTTGGCACAGGAGTTGTGTTTAACTAGCTCTTCTTTCCAGTTCTGATTTTTCTGTAATAGGAGAGTTTCATTATTCATCTTTTTTTAAAATTTAACTGAAGTTTAAGACTGACTGCATCACCTCGTAACTCGAGGCAGGCTAGGTGTGCACACCCTACTGACAGTTTATGGCAGCCTAACACATTTCAGACGTACAGTAGAGTTACAGAGGCTTAAGAAGTTACCACTAAAGGTAAACTGCAAGAAGAACAGTTCACTTTATTTTTTAAATATCGTTCTTATTTTTCTTGTCAATATGAGCCCCTAAGGAAAAGTACTGCTAGCCACAATTATTTTTCATCTCCACTCAACTTATTCTATGGGCTTACACTGCCATGGGCAACTTCAAATATAAAGTTTTCCACCTCCTGAATATGAAGTACTTAGCACTGAGTTCATTTGGCTGTTTCATTTCAACACAGCGTGTACTTAAGCGCAGTCTTCTGCCTCTAACCCAATCAATTCCCAATGCAGTGCAAGTCTGATCTTATATTTATCACTTTCTGCATAACCTATAACACCAATGAGGTCAGCACAGAGGAGAATGAAAAGGAGTTTATCTTTCAAGGTAGTTTCTGGTCCAGACATTCCTACTCCATTTTCCAGTGCACTTCTGTAGAAATACAGCTTCACAAGGTGTTAGAAAAGAACTATCCCAAACTTTGGCAGTAGGCATTTGTAAGCAGCCTCCATATAGCACTCTCATATCAAATACAATTACAGTAATACGCATTAGCAGTATAAAGTTAGGTATCTTGTCCTCCATAGCTGATCTGCCTTAACTCATCCTGCTCTGGCTTACCATTCCTCCACACACCCTTTTTTATTGCCAAGTCAGCTTTATCACATAAAAGTTGATCTGTATTTTTCTTCGAACTCCCAATCCCTGCATTCAAGAGAGTCACATTATCATTTAATAAGTTCAATAGTTTTAACACCACAAGCGTGAGAAAAGAACTAGAGTAGTGCTCTGCTACAAACTAACAGGAGAAAAAGAATGAAATCAAGAATGTCTTTAGAAATTTAAAAGTGACTTCACAGATTCAAGTCCGTTTGGGGAACTACGTTACTCTACTTCCATAGTACGGGTTACAGGTTAGAAGCGAATGGACTTACATGTCCCATTCCTATCCTACAAATATTGAAGGAAGGCAAATACACCAATAGGATCATCACATATTTTAATAGTGTAGCAGTCTATTTATCATTCATAAGGGTTCAGGTCAACACACCAGCAGTAAGCTGTCATTGTAAGAGATCACAGCCTTCTGATAAGAGAACGTTCCAGTGGAAATTATGCTCTTAATGCTTCATGACTGTTTTGCAGAGTTAATTATAAACTAGAAGCAGCAAAGACCGTGTGGAGCCTTCACTGTGCAAAAAGTTTCTCAACATGCCTGCTATATCAAGTTTGTATTTGTCAGAATTAACAAGAACACATCAGTTTTTTTAAAAAAAACCCAAACCCACAATAATCGGGGTAGTAACATCTCAGTCCACACACACACACAAATATCAAGCAGAAAATTAAATACAAATCAAAATTTTTAAAAGGTCATCTAGGAGTACAGCACTTCAGCAGGGAAGGACCACAGCTTTATAGAGAAGCCTACTCCTACGTCAGAACAAACCACGACTACCCGACAAGGGAGATGCAGGCACCCTGTTACTTGAAGTTTTATGCCCACAAGGGGCCTCAAGAACTCAAGGAGGAAGGGAACAGACTGCCAGACCAGATCATGCCACTCACCACATCTTCCCTGCCCACGCTGAAGAAACCAAGGAAGTTTACTAGATCGAAAGCCTACTGTCAATTTATTCTGACAGAGCAGATCTGTGG